AATATCAACATTTCAGGACTTTTTGGTCTTTCGCGATTATTCATCATGCTGTTGTTCATTACATACCCCCACCCCAAAAAAGGTTTCAAAGTATTTTGAGCAAAAGTCATCAAACCTGCAATGAGTGCCTGTAAACGGGGGCAAAGCGGGTGGCTTACGTGTTCATTGGTTTCTGTTGAGACCCACGGTTCTTCGTTCCTCGGGCAGTCGGCCACGTGGAGTTCTAATCACTGGCGCTTTTAGCGACGGAAGGTAATGGCGGTGGAGGAGTCTGAGAGCCAGAAATCCCACAACCCCCCGTTTAGCTACCTACGCAGACGCTTTTTTGGCTCGTCACGCAATCTTCCTACCCCACGACCGTCTGAAGGCTAATCCTATTTGGGGCTAGAATTCAACCCATGACCAGACTGGCCCGCTTACCCTAGCACTAGCTATCCGCGGGCCAGTCTTAACTGTAAAATATAAAATGAACGAAAATAAAGATTGTTCTTGTTGCAGTTTTTATTTCCCTTTTCGGTTACTAAAAAAAACAGGAAAGACAAAACTAAAATCAAGGAAAAAACACAGTGAGAACATTCACCTGAACAACGTACACAGTTCGAAGTTAACACAATTCCTGGATTAGCATTACATTCCTCCCTTGAATGACCGACTGCTAAATAAGTACGACACAAGTTCGTTCATAACCTACCTATTCCTTTTAAATAAATGCTCTCTTTCTTAGATTTACTTTTGTATTTACAGTTAAAATATACATACAGGATAAAAGATGATTGCATTTATTAAATAATGACAATGTGCCCGGTTTACTATCGTAACCACGTTTAATTTAATTTAATTTAATTTAATTCGTAATTTAAAAAAATCCCAGACTGAGCCTCCGGGACATGTCCTTATGGTTGTCAGGTAAAATGACGTCACACATGACGCAACTTAACAGCGCTAAAATTTCGGGAGAGTTCGCTTTGTTTTCCAATTGGACAATAAAAATCGGCAATCGTTTTGAACACTCGTTTCCCCGATATAAAATCAACATTGGGTATCTCCCCTATCACGCTGGAGCATGTTCAGTGAGCTCATCCAGGCATTTCCTTAGTGTCAACAAGACGGGGTCGCAATCGCGCAATCCTCCGTTAAATGAGAAGACGATTCCACATCACTACATGGTAAAATCTCAGTTTCGCGTCCTTCTTCAACTGTCACTCTGTGGCTAGGAATTGAACGTTCCTGTTCTAATAATTCACTTGACTCATCAGCAATATCCTCGTTTAAAACTTGCTGTTTAGCGGCTTCTTCCATTGAATCAAAATCGGCAGAGTCAACAATTACTCGAGTAGCATCTTCATTTGCCGTATTATCAGCTACAAGTACAATGCTAACTTCACTTTGCAGTTCCGTAGGAGTCTCGCTAGCCGTAGTTTCTTTTTCCACGTCATCATTACAAGTCTCACAATTATCTGTAGTTTTGTTGGTGGGGTCTTCAACAAGTAATTCTAAATCATTTTTATTTGCACTATCACATGAAGTTCTTTCTGTGGCAGAACACATCTCATCTTCAGCTATGTTACTTACAGGGTCAGTGGCCTGCTGTGCAATATGCTGTTGGTCTTTGTCATCAAACAAGGGAGCACCCTGAGTATCAATTGCCTCTGTGTTGTCCTGTAAGGTTGCTGAATTATTTTCACCTTGGCAAATAATAGGGTCCAACTCGCTCTCTTCCCTCTTGGATAAGTCTTGATGTCTGGTTGCCACACCTAACTGTTGCTCATCGACAGAGCTGCATCCCTCAGGGTCCCCATCTCTTTCACCCACAGGCATCCCACTTTCAGCCTGGTCAAATGCCACGACCTTGCTAGTTTGTGCTTGGCTTGATGCTGAAACTAGAGCGATCTTGAATCCATAGCATGGCCGCTCTTTTTGCTGGTTAGACCGACCGCCCAATTCCTTAAAATTAAATTCTGTCTCAGGTCTGATACCATCACGTGACAAATCCCCGACTGGAGACTCTGCCCCAACCCCCTCCTCTCGCTCGTGTAAGATAGTGTCCAGGCTATCGCGGCTTTTTCTCATCTCATGTATTTCTTCACTGATTCCTTCCAAGTTTTTCAAAGCTAAGGAGTACTTCTGTTTTGCTTGTTGGAGACCTTCTTGGGTGATTTCAACTTGCTTCTTGTGAGCCTGACAAGGGGAAAAATAAATCTTATTTTCTATCAATTGATTTGATATTTAACATATGAAGGAAACTGAGGTATGTACGTTGGTAATTTCCCGGCTAATAAAAACCTGAAATACAGCCTACAGAAATTCTAAAATGCAAATGAGAGGCTATGGTGGCTGGACACAGTTATCTACACTTTGATTTCCTTTGTCATCTTATCTGCTGCAGCTGCAAAGCTCAAACTGAACAGGCTTTTAACTTGCAATGTAAATGTAGCAGAGTTCTAACTTTTGCATATTGCTCAAGTCTATGTTCTTTCACTATGAATCTAGCTTTTTTTTTTTTGCATCAGCAGTTTGAAGAAAGAGTGGATAGAAACTATGTTCAGCCACCTAAGAATACACCCAGTGAAAGGAAAAGGAACAAAGGCAACAATAAGAACATCAGAAAAAATCAGTAAACTAATTTCCGGGTGGGGGGGGGGGGGGGGGG